CAAGTGCCTGCTTAGGACTTGTACCTGCTTGATTTTATAGACAGCGCTCTGTGCTGTTACCTTCCCTGTTCTGTGATGGGGTGATCACCACTGCTGGGTTGGCCGGGTGCCTGGGACCTTGAAGGCCGTTAACGAGGGGAGTAGTCAGCCTGAAGCCCAGCAATCTTGATGCCAGCAGGGAGGGGAAGAAGAAATCTGTTTGGTTCATGTACTTGGTGCACAGTACCTTCAGGGCCTGATAATGATGGGAAAGGGAACTCATATGTGACCCACTTGATCACAGAGAATGGCTGTTTGCCTTATAAAATGGCATTAGTTATGCTGACCATATTACCAGGAGTTGGGAGCAGGGGGTACCGGTCACACCTACTAACTACTGCCTTTCTCTAAACAGATATGAAACAGCTGGGGTTTAATAGGAGGCAAGAGCTGTTGGAAGAGGTCTTGTCTTTGATGAGCAGGGAGCAGCACCCTGATGAGGTAAGGAAGCTGTCGTAGTTTAACCCTGGTAAACAGGCTAAGCACCACTCAGCCGCACGCTCACTCGCCCCCGGTGAGATTGAGGAGAGAGAATCAGAAGAGTAAAAGTGAGAAAACTCGTGGGTTGAGATAAAGACAGTTTAATCAGTAAAGCAAAAGCCACACACACTAGCAAAGCAAAACAAGGAATTCATTCACCACTTCCCATCGGCAGGCAGGTGTTCAGCCGTCTCCAGGAAAGGAGGGCTCCATCACGCGTAACAGTTACTTGGGAAGACAAACACCATCACTCCGAACATCCCCCCCTTCCTTCTTCTTCCCCCAGCTTTATATGCTAAGCATGACATCATATGTTATATGGAATACCCCATTGGTCAGTTGGGGTCAGCTGTCCCAGCCGTGTCCCCTCCCAAGTCCTTGTGCACCCCCAGCCTCCTCGCTGGTGGGGTGGGGTGAGGAGCAGAAAAGGCCTTGACTGTGTGTAAGCACTGCTCAGCAGTAATGAAAACATCCCTGTGTTATCAACACTGTTTCCAGCACAAATCCAAAACAGAGCCCCATTCTAGCTACTGTGAAGAAATTTAGCTCTATCCCTGCCAAAACCAGTACAGAAGCTCAGTGAAAAGAGTAGAGATGTCTCCCCATTTCTGTGTGCAGCATACAGACTGTATTTAAGTGCTGTATTATTGTCCCTGGTCGGTCTTAGAAGTCCAGTTCCAGTGCATATGCCATTACAAATTTCCAAATCTATGTGAGCTTATCTAGACCTGCTAAGCCCTTCGGATTGTCTTCAACCTATAGAGAAACCTCAAATTAACACAGAAGAGTTACCCTTACCAGGATTTGGAAGAGTAATCCAGCCCAGCCAGGCACATCTCGGGGAAGCACATGGGCAGAATTCAGGCATTTTTGCCAAAGATGTCATTGCAGTAACTGGCTTCTCAAGCTGAGGAGGGTTAAAGGCTCATGGGTACTGCAGAGGTCTCCAAGTACAGCTGTCCCTGCGAAGCCATCGTGGAGCTTGCCTAGTGGGGACAATTGTCCTGACAGAAGTGAGAGATTTTTCTGCCAGGAGTAACCCCTGTTAATTCACAAATTTAAATCACATAGGGGGCAGACCTCTAGGATCTGTAGGAGGAATTGCACTGAAAAGGGTATGTTAATTCTAGAGGTTTTGGGATTAATAGCGCGATCTTTTCACAGATTCAGCTGGCGTTTGCCAAGTGTGCTGAAGACATCAAAGCTGTCTGTGAGCAAACTGGGAGGGAGCAGGCCCCGTTAGAATGGACAGGCAGCGCGCTGAGCCATCTCGCTCTGTTGTTTTCCAGGGCTGGGAGAACCCAGGACGCTTGGTACGTGTGTGGCTGTCGTGAGCTCTTGGCTTGCTGACACTGTAACTCAAGGCTTAATCGCAAAAATCTAAAGCTAACGACTGATTGCCTTGGAATGCTAGTGCAAAGGGAGGGGATAAATCCTACTGGGAATGTGATGGGGTTTTTTCTTAATTTTATTGTTCATTCTCGGCACCAAGTTACAGTTGTCTATCGTAAAAATGGTTTAGAAGTTAACGTAGCAACTGGCTTAGAGCATTGTACAGCTGCTTATGGCAAGGTAGGGTTTGATTATCACTTCACTAAGCATTGCTGATTTCCTACAGCTTCCCATTTTCAAATTTTTAGAACTCTTTGGAATTCAAACTGCTAAAGAGATTAATTAGACTTTAATTAAACTTTTAATTAGAATTAACCCTAATTAAAACTCTAAAGAGAATATTTTTAGAACTCTCTAGTAGCTAGAATTCACTGTCCTACATGCTCTCAACTTGAAGTGCTGGTTAAAATATCTAGCCTCCAATTTAAGGTTCTGAGCTATTTTCTGTTAAATACAGATGTTCTCCTTGCACTGATTCATTTGAAACAAAGAAGTGGCAAGTACCCTTCTAAAAATGTGTAATATTTTAAAGTAAACTTGCCACCAGCTACACTTCCTATTCTTTCTGCGCTAGTTAAGATATTTTGTGTTAAACTAATCACTGATGTTAGCTGGTACACATTGCATCTGCGAGAATATGGCATGGGATCTGTTTTGGATCTGTGGGGAAGATCACTTCATGAAATTGAGCTTGCCTATATTTCAACGGGGGCTTATCCAAGAGATTTAATATCTGTGTGTTCCTGTGTTTTGTGGTGGATTTTTTAAATTATTTTTTTGTTTTCTTTTGAACAGGAATACGATGGAGCATTTCCAGCAAATCAATAGGATTCCCACGTGAGTACTTTTAGGTTCTGACCTCGGGTACTGAGTCTCCCCTTTGGCTGAGATTTTGCATTTCTATTACAACTGACAATAGCGGTCCATATCTTATAGTTACTTCCGAAGCGTGAGTGTGTGTGTCTGTCCCTCTGAGCACGGGTGTTTGTTTATCCAGCTGATATGTTCCAACATCAAGAATATGTCTGAAAAAATGTTGAAAATGCAAAGGCGTGGAGTTTAAGTGGGTGATCCTCGAGATTTCATTGAATGAACCTCTGGGACATGGAGAACAGTGCCACTTGGCATTAGAAATCAGTCTAAGCAGGACTCTTGAGAACATCTCATTTTCTGCGTGCTCAAAAAAATTCTAATATGCTATTAACCGAGCATAGGTGCTTCAGAGGTGTCTGGACTTCTGAAGACAAGTTTATCAAGTCAAGTCCTAAATTTTACATGGTATCCTGTTAGGTTACAACAGTTAGCTTTTCTCAGGATTTTGGACAACAAAATTCTTTTTGAAGTAGAAAACAAGTTCTAAGGAATAGTAATGCATTTTTAAAAAACCAAAAAAACCTAAACAACTGCTTGGTGCTTGCGGAAATGAACATCTTAGATCTGATGTTGGAGATGGGCGTTTCACTGAGATGCACGATGTTCTCTGTGGCTGCCTGCACCAGTGAGGGTGTGTGGTACTCTGTGCCACGTCAGAGCCCCTGTCTCAATTTGGGCAATAGGGAAAGGAGAAGAATTCTCCTTCTGAAATCGTGGTGTAGCTAATGGTTTGTGGATGCCATGAGTTATGAATGTGAAGGGAAAGTAAGTCGTTTCCCTGCTGTTACCAAAGGGATCAGAGGCTCTTCTGGTTGAACTGTCCCCTTCCTTCCTTTCTCTGCCAAGCTCCCTGCAGCACCAGCTGCAAACACTCACTTCTTTCCCTGCCTGAAGGCAAGAGAGGTGTCCCCAGCAGCTGTCGCAGGTGGGGAAGGAGCAGAGCCAGCACTTCGACATGAAATGGAGCTGGCAGAGCAGAGCCAGCTGTCAGCGGCTCCCAGTGCCCACAGACAGCAGTCAGATGCCTGCCTTTGATTCAAAGTGCTTTTATACTATTCCTGTACCTCTGCCAGCCATGTAAAAGAGGGTGAGGGCCTGATTTGGGGACTGTAAAGAGGGGAAGGTTATTTAGGCTGCTGCTAAGGTGGGGTCCTTATCCTGAGCAGTGAGCTGCTGCCCTGTGTTTTTGTGCAAGTGTTGCTTTCTGGTAGGATAGGAGTTCCCAAATGCACCACATGGTACAGGCTGAAGGCTGAGGTAAAACTCCTGGCAGGAGCAGAGTTGGGCTGGTTGAGTGATGTGAAAATCTGTCACCTCCTCTCCCTCTCTAAAGCACCTGCTGTAAGTTAATGGCCACCTCAGCTGGGGCCCCGTGAACAATCACTCTTTGCCTTTGCTTTTGCAGTGATCAGGTGATGGATGAGTTCTTGAACTGTGCTAAACAAACCAATTGCCCAGATGAGGCAATTAAGCTGGTAAAGCTGGCAGCATCCCTTGGTCTTCCTTCATCTCAAAGGCTTAAGAGCAGAACGGAGAAGGAATTTGAACTCTCTGAGAAGCAGAAGTAAGTTGAGTACTTCATGTTACTGCTGAAGGAATATAGTAGGTAGGGTGTTGGAGGGGTGATTCCTGCGGAAAGGCTTCTCTGCCAAGGCAGCAGAGAACTGGCTTCAGAATGATGTGCCTTTGCGTTGACTCTGGTCAATTCACACCCCCAAAATGGCCAGTTTTTGATCCCATGCTGTATCCATCCCACCTAGGGGGAAGGGAACTTTCTATGATGGGCCTTATCCACCGCTCAGATCTGCTATCACCTTTCTTTCCCAGAATCTTTTCCTAGCTGGGTCTGGCCACCTAAAAGACACTGATTGCAGGCTAGTAAAAGCAGGGAGGTGGTACAGAATGGCCCTGCGCAGGTTCTGAGGCTCACAGGTTCTGAGGCTCATGGTCAATCTTCAGTGCATCTTGCTAGCCACCACTGTTCGTTGCTGAGCTGATGCAGCCAAGGTCAGATGATGGGCTTAGCCTTGAGGATCACAGTTTGGAGCCAGCGGTCTGGTACAAGGGAATGAATAAATAGAAGTCCAGCACCCTTGACAGTTGGCCCGCCGCTTTCTGGGTAACTGAAGTAGTCTACCTTTCCAAAAGGAGGTGGGTGTGCTTCCACCAAACGCTGGGTGGCCCTGTCCTTTGAGGATAACGGGCATCAGACAGCCTATAATGTTCTCCTTGGAGGGGGTTTATCCTGTGTTTTGGATATCTCTTTTCATGCAAAAGTCACAACAGGTGACTGATTACTGGACTGTTTTACATCTGCAGGAAGACATTGGAGAGTATCAAGTCAGACAGCGACAGCAGCGATAGTGACAGTGACAGCGATAGTGACCGTGACTAGCTGTCCCTCTTGCCTTCCTGTCGGGAAAACTGGGAGCAACCACTGCCTTGATGCCAGGAGGCTTCCATGAGAAGTGAAATTACTGAAGGGACGGCTTCTGGGGGGGACCTGCTTGCCAAGAGTACATTGTCCTCGTTGGAGCAAGCTAGAAGCCGTCCTGTTTAACGTTCTTGGAACCTTCAAACACAGCATGGGCTACACCAACACAGTCTCTTCCACACCACTACCTGCACGAGCTGGCTCCTGCCAGGCAGCTGTGGCCTGCTTGAACAGCTTGGCTGAGGTACTGGAGGGCTGCAGCGAGAGGAGTGCTGCTTCGTGGAGGCTCAGCAGGTACAAGGCTTTGACAGCTTGAGCAAGACTCCTGTTGGGCCTTCTGCAACATAAACCTGTACTGTACTTAATTCGTTTCCAGCTAACTTTCATGAACTACTTAAATACAAAGCTTACTCTGTATGTAAACACTATAAGTAATGCAATACTCATCACCTGTGGTGTTACTCCTCATGCTTTTTGGTGTTGTAGGACAGGTTTTAGACTGTAGATGTCAAAAAGCTACAATTTGTACAGCTGGGAGACTGCATCTAATAAACAGCTGACATTAAACATGGCTGTTGATTACAAAGTGGTGCTGCTGCTCTGTGAGAAAGTAAAGTTCATGCAGAATACAGCAATAAAGCTGATGAGGTGACTGGCTGGGAAGACAGATGACTGCGCTGTTCCGTTCCGTGCCTTGCAGTTCACTGGCCCACGCAGCATTGTGCTGCTGTGCTCAGCTGGGGAAGCTTGAAGGTTTTTTTGAGGTAGTTATTTTAAACAGGCAAAGAAGGACTTGTTCGTGTGAGGATTAAACCATATTCTAGTGAAAAGTAGTTAACAGATGATTCTCTCTGTGAAAAATAAAACCTTGATGTGCATGATGCTGCAGGACAAGAGCATGCTGCTGGGGGAAGCAGCTTAAGGATAATTCAGTAATGAGTTTGGGAAGCAACAGCTGCTACAGGTAGAACAAACTACAGCTGAAAGGCTAAAAGTCAAGTGTTCCTTGCAGTACAGGAGCAGATGGGCAGTAAAGCTGTTTGAAGGCAGCGTTTGCTCCAAAAGCAAACACGCCTGTTCCAGGGGTAGATCAAAGATAAAGGGCTTTCAGAGATACGCTCTTTGCTTTAGTGCAGCAACAATTTAAAACTGGATCAGCAAGAAGACCAAGCTCCTGTTACTCACTTCAGCAAGTGGGTACTAAGTGCGTTTGATCAATCTGTAAGAATTAAGGGAAAGGTAAGAGAAGGAAGGAACTTGGTCTTTATGCGAGTTCTCATGGTTGAACCAAAATTGGTTTCTAGATAGAAATACCTGGTCTTCTGAAACTGCAGAAGAGTAGTTCTGACAAGAAGAAACAAGCAGGGGTAGAAGTCCACCAGAATATGTGCTTTAACACCAGCTTAAGGTGTGACTACTTAAACCTGTACTCATACATGGATTTTTTTTTTTACAGCTGTACAAATTAATGAATGGAGACATTGATCACATCAATGAGTTCTTGCTCCTTGAAAGGAGTACAACAGAGATGAGTTTTAACTTCTTCAGGTCATGGAGAAAGGCTGTTGTTGTACTGCCCAGCTGTATTTACTGTTTAAATAGGAGACTGAACAACAGGAGAAAGTGGTTGAAGTCTTGTTTTATTCAGCTGACAAAGTGGCAAATCATTAATGGTAGGTTACAAACATTAATTTGGTTGGATCACAAGCCCGCTTGGTAAGATGGGGAAACAAAATTCTTACAGAAATTGTAGAGAAGCTTCCTGAAGTTGGTTGTCATGATACCTCTAAACCAATACAAATACAACAGGTGGTGAAGTTAAATACCGTGCAAGGAAACAAGACGGTACCCGTGCTTTGATTTAACGCTTCCAACCCCTGCCAGCAGCTTGGTTTGCAAACCTTAGGAGATCATGGGATTTCTTTCCAGCACAAACGATTGCTGAACTGCCTCCAAACCTACAATCCTAGCTTACTGCGCTTGAGTTGTTCCTAACCCCACAGCACTGGCATATGCTGTCAAGATATCCACAATTTGTTTTGTTTCTAGGGTCATTCGAGCTTCGGTCAGCCAGTCATGTGCCACTCTCCTAGACTCTCCTCTTAACTGGTTGACAAATTTAGCTGCCAGCTCCAGATCTCCGTGTTCAATGCAATACGAAGCGTAAGACAGTAATTTAAACGTATCAAGGTCGTCAGGGCTGAGCTCAGCAGGTGGCTTCAGCTGTTGAGGGTGAAACACAAGCAGTGACTGCAGGTAAGACAGGAAGTATTGATACAAGCTGTTTCTCGTTTCATCGATCATAGCCACTCTTTTTGCCAGTTTTTGGACTGTGTAGAAACGTGCTCTGAGAGCCTCTTCGCTGTACACTCCCCGCGTCAGGGACTCCTGAGGGAGAGCTGCTGTTAAGGCTTCTGTAAACGCATTGTCAGAGCAACTGGCTTTGATGGCCTTCACTGCGCTCTCCAGTGGTTCTGTGGGACTATCCCCAGAGGCTGTTTTCATGCAATATTTGAGTGCTTCAACAGAGAGCCACAGCTGGTGGGCCTTTCTGGCTTCCTCTTCTGCTACCGCGTGACCTGCAAAATAAGCCAAGAAAGGGACTCTCAGTTGGGGGCACAGTTTTAAAGACAAGCAGCAAAAGCCATTCCTCTAAACATCCTGCTTTCAAAAGCAGCTGCCCCCTCAGCATTTGACCTGAAAGCAAGTCTGTGCCACAATTTAGGATCAGAACAAGACGACAGCTTTGGACTCGTGCAGCTGGGATTTGCTGGGTGCTCAGCAGTGTGGCAAACCCAGGCACAGGAGCAACGTGCCTAAGCCTGGGTTTAAGCACCCGGGTTTGGGTAATGGGCCTTTGGGGATCGCGACTTTAGTCCTTAAAGAAATGTGATTTCAGTGCTCACTCTCAACTGCTTGCTCAATTCCTTTCAGCCTGGCGTAGGCAGTGTTTATGTCCAACGTGAAGTTGTCGAGCTGTTCCTGAGTAAGGCGTCTGAATTGCATTTCTTGTTCACTGAGTTTCTCCGATAAGTTCTGAAACAGAGCGAGATACAAAACAGCTGTTTCTGGTCTGATAAATTGTATTTACCTTATTTTTAAGATATGTTTCGATAAATCTGTTGTTCTTGTTAGGGACAATGCATATAGTAAATCCAATATACCAGTAAGAAGCCTTATTAGGGTGAATTTAACAGTTACTGCATTTGTAATTACCAAAATTCTCACCTATAGCAAAAGCTTTTAAGACAAGTCAGAATAAAACCCCTATGTGTTCAGGCACTGTTTTTCATCTCTTCAAGATGAGCAGGCTTCCCTCCCCAGCCCACATTTCAGTCTTCTGGAAGATGGTTCAGGACTCTCGTATGGCAAAGCACGTGCTTTGCCAGGGTTCAAATATCCGCCTAATTCCCTCAGGGACTCTTCTCCCTTACCTGCTCAAATTCCACCTTTAGCTCTTGCTCCTGGATCTTAAGAACGTCTCTCAGATGATCAGTGTGGGCAGCAGCCTGCCGCCGGAGCTGGGTCCTCATTTCGCTCTCCATCACCTCTCGGACTTCTTCAACCTGTACACACACGAGTGGTTGTTATTACACTGCTATTTTTCAGCTGCTTGTCACAAGCGATATGATTATATAATCCATCAGTGATTACACAGGGTACATTTTATAGAAGTAGCATTGACAGAGCCCATGTTTCATCTTAAAAAGCTGCCAAGGTCCATTTTTATAGCTGAGCCTTTTCCAAAAGACATTAAAGAATAGCTTCATAGTCCACAATGCCTGTAACCGGTGGTTATACTCACTAGGCGCTTCGTGCAGTTATCAAAATATTATATGAAAAATACAGTAACATTTCAAACTAAACACTGGTGTTTATAAACCAGCTTCCAAATAAAACATATTTTACCTTTAGCTGTAATACTGTCCAAGTTTAATAAAATGGTAATACCCCTTTTACCTGATCATGTATAAAACAGCCACTTTAGAGCGTGCAGGTTTATTTAGGTTGAACAGTTTTTTGGTTTTCTGATTTTTTTTTTTAAAAACGATTGTGTCATTTCCAACCTTCCATTAAATGCAAAGATGATAGTTCAAGCAACTTTAAAGAAGAGCTCTAAATTAATACCTGTCACTGCAGTGCTTTGACCTAGCAGGCTATAGGTGAAACCCTTAGTTTCGCACAAGTCAATGCAAATTTTCCAACTAATGGCCAGTGTTTAATCTCATTTTCAGAGGCACACGTGAAAACAGCAGGAGTATTTGGCAGAAGCATCTGCCTGCAATATGGCATCTCAAAAGATAAAATCTCCAGTGCCCAAATTCCTATGTTTCAAGTTGCACTTGCTTCATGTCCAAAGCAGCATCAAAATTCTGAGGAGTTTTCATAGTCTTTTTGAAAGAAACCAAATCCCAATCCACTGGCAAAGCACACAGTGGAAGGACATGGAGATACCTCCTGGAGGCAGGACGGAGGGGCTACATAGCCCTAAGATGGCCATGCTGGGTCAGATCAGTCATTTATTTTGACCCAGTAATCCCATCTCCAACAGCAGACAGGAACGTGAAAAAGTCATTCCCTGTTTCGCTGTATGACTTTACCATTCTAACTTTGCAGAAGTTTCCTGCTCAGTGTCTCCTTTCCACGCTTATCCTGGGGGTCACCCTATCCGAAGTCTCCCATCACTTAGAACATCCCAGCTGCTCTTCTGAGCACTTCCTCTAGCTCTTCTACATCCTTTTTGAGCCAGATATCCAAATGGGTGCATTATGCCACTTTACCTTCTTCTCCTGTTCTGTTTCAATCTCACTTTTGTGATGCTCCAGTGCTTTGGCCACGGCTGCCTCAAATGCTTTTTTATCTTCAAGTTTCTGCTTCTCCAGGGCCAACTCTATGTGCTGCTGTTCCCTCACTCGCTGCTCCGCCAGCTCCTTGTTTAACTGGTCAATGCGACGGTGGGC